GGAGCTGCAATAAACATTAATGTGCAGACAGCTTGTTTGTTTGCCAATTTCATTTCCTTTGGGTAAATTCCAAGGAGTGGGATGTCTGGTTTGAATGCTAGGGTTACATTCAGGTTTCTGAGGAATCTCCAGACTGACTTCCATAGTGGCTTAACCAATATGCATTCCCACCAAGAGTGGGTTAGTGTCCCTTTTTCCCCACATCCTCTCCAGCATCTATTGTTGGTAGATTTCTGAATGTGAGCCATTCTAACTGGGGTGAGGTGCAACCTCATTGTGGTTTTGATTTGCATTTCCCTTATTGCTAGTGATCTTGAACATTTTTTCATGTGTCTGTTGGCCATTTGGATTTCCTCTTTTGTAAAATGTCTATTGAGGTCCTTGGCCCATCTCTTAAGTGGGTTGTTTGTTTTGATGATGTGGAGTTTCTTGATTTCTTTGTAGATTCTGGTGTTCAACCCTTTATCAGTTGCATAGTTTGCAAATATATTTGCCCAATCTGTTGGTTGTCTCTTCACTTTCCTGACTGTTTCTTTTGCATTACAGAAACTTCTCAATTTGATGCAATCCCAAATGTTAATTTTGGCTTTGACTGCCTGTGCTTCTGGGGTGTTTTCCAAGAAGTCATTGCCGGTACCTATATCTTGCAGGGTTTTTCCAATGCTCTCTAATAATTTGACGGTGTCAGGTCGTAGATTTAAGTCTTTAATCAATGTTGAGTGAATTTTTGTGTAATGTGAAAGGTAGGGGTCTTGCTTCATGATTCTGCACGTGGAAATCCAGTTTTCCCAGCACCATTTATTGAATAGACTGTCCTTACTCCAGGGATTGGTTTTGGATCCTTGATCAAATATGAGTTGGCTGTAGATGTTTGGATTGATTTCTGGTGTTTCAATTCTGTTCCATTGGTCTATTCATCTGTTTCTGTACCAGTACCATGCTGTTTTGATAACAACTGCCCTGTAGTATGTCCTGAAATCTGGTATTGTTATGCCTCCAGCTTTATTTTTGTTGTACAAGATTGCTTTAGCTATTGGAGGTCTCCTGTGTCTCCATATAAATTTCAGCATCATTTTTTCCAGATCTGAGAAGAAGGTTTTTGGTATCTTGATTGGTATTGCATTGAATCTATAAATTGCTTTTGGGAGAATGGGCATTTTGATAATATTGATTCTTCCAATCCATGAGCATGGAAGATTTTTTCATTTTTTGGTATCCTCTTCTATTTCTTTCTTTAAGGTTTTGTAATTTTCATCATAGAGATCTTTAATGTCCTTGGTTAAGTTTATTCCAAGGTATTTGATTGTTTTGTAGCTATTGTGAATGAGATTGATCTTAGAAGTTCTTCCTCAGCCATGGCATTGCCTGTGTATACAAAGGCTGTTGATTTTTGTGCATTGATTTTATACCCTGCTACTTTGCCAAAATCTTCTATGAGTTCCAATAGTCTCTTAGTAGAGTTCTTTGGGTCCCCTAAATAAAGAATCATATCATCTGCAAAGAGGGATAGTTTGAGTTCTTCCTTCCCAATTTGTATCCCTTTAATTTCTTTTTCTTGCCTAATAGCTCTGGCTAGAACCTCCAGAACTATATTGAATAGCAGTGGTGATAGTGATGATTAGCTATTTTTTAAAGTCTCACAGTGAATAAAGAATTTTATTAAGGTTGATGGCACACATTTAGACAGAGTAAAGTTACATGTAGAGTGTTCAGTGAAAAGCAATGTAATGTGAGAATAGAGAACATGTAAAAACAATTTTGCTCTAAATTCTAATTGGAGTGTTTTTAATCTATTACATTATCTCTTTTGAGATTCATTCACTCATTTTAGAGTGCCTTAGTGTGAAACCAGAGTAGGTCTCCACTCTATATTTGAACCAAAGGAAAGAGATTCACTTGTGTAATTTCATTTATCCAGTGGCCATTCATTATTAGACTAAAACCTTGTTACACATGGAAAAGATTATAGCAATCTCCATGCTATCTTCCATGATGGCTGTACTAGCTTAGATTCCCCTCAACAATGTTTTAATAAAGTATGCTTTTCTTTGCATCTTCACCAGCATTTCTTTTTTAATTCCTGTATGTTAGCCTTGCTAACTGGGGTGGGGTGAAAACTCACTGTGTTTTTATTTGCATTTCCATAATGGCTAGTCATTCTGAGCATTTTTCTCCTGTTTCTGTTCACCATTTAATAGAGATTCTTCAGAAATCTGACAACAGATCTGTATGACCCAGCCAACCCATTCCTGGGCGTATACCTAAAGGAAATGAACTCAGCATATTAACTAGTTATCTGTAACTCCATGTTTATAGCAGCTCATTTCACAATAGTTAATATATGCAATCAACCTAGATGCCCATCATTTGATGACTAGATAAGATACTGTGGTGTATATACACAATGCAATAGTACTCAGACATAAAAAAAAAAAATGAATCCTGTCACACCAAAGTGGTTACAACTGGAGACCATTATGCTTAGTGAAATAATCCAGATACAAAAAGATAAATATGTGCCTTTTCTGATTACGGTAGCTAATTTATAGGGTACAAAAACAAAAACCTCAATGCATAAGAGTGAAATTGACATCTTGTGATTTCATTATTTTTTATAGCCCTTGTGAGTATTCCTGCAGATCAATGGTCTTTCTACTTTTTTATTGCTGAACAATATGTAGAGGAGAATTAAGCCTGTGATAATAAAGAGAAAAGTCAATGATTAAAATAAGTCTACTTGATGTAGTTTTGTGTTATTTCTATTTTCTTTATATTTTCATGTGTCCAAATTTTTTTGTTAATGGACGCTTTATAATTAGACGAATTGAAAGACATTGGAAAATATTTGAATTAATCAGGTTTGTTACTTTCCTTTTAGGAAAAAGTTAAAAATCAGCTTACACACCGTAAACATGCCTTTTATACTAATTTTGTCATTTGATTTTGTGGCACTCCTTGCTATAAAATTGCTTATCTGGATATTAAAATGTTCAGGCATTTGCTTGAGTGAGTGTTTGTGTTTTTTCTGCTGACTTCTATAAAAAAAAATGATACTGAGATATTTCTGTAATACTTCCTATTTGCCATTCACTGGTTTGGGAAGTTTGTCATGTGAAAGTAGAATTTCATGCAGTTGCCTACCAGGATTTCCTGTATTAGATGTGTTTAAGGAGATCAATGGTCTGTGTTCTTTTAGGAGCATCAATATTGTAAGCCTTAAAGCAATACAAATAATATGATCACAAATCCTCTTATTAACAGTTTAATTTAAAATTTTCTGTTTGCTTAATTTATCATTCTAATCTGAAATTGCCTGCAATTTGACAAGTCTATAGTAGATATCAAATTGTCTTTCAGTATTAAATACCCATCTGGGCACAATTAAATGATTTCTGTTATTTCTCACCCTATCAATTTCATAGCTATACTTTTAGTTTTTAGGAAAAAAAATCTTTAATTTGGCCATACATCTCAATAAGATGTTTTAATATCAAAAACAGCGACAATTTCCAAAGAAATACTCATCACCTTATAATTAGAACTTCACACATATAAGTTTATAAATGTAAGGATACTTCCAAAGGTTCAGGGGAAAAAAAATGGATTGAAAAGATGAGTACTTTGATGTAAAAAACTTTGAAATCAATGTATTTTTTATAATTTTATGTTACATCATATTTGTTACTTTCCAATATATATTCTGCTACTGGCAAAGGGGGTAGAATTGTGCAGTATAGCTATGTCTAAAAGATGCCAAAGAGTTTAGATACAAAATCACTTAAAATGAATGTCAGAAAAACTTTAATGTAAACAACTGGCGAATTGAATACCTCAATTTGTAAGGAGTTTATGGTATCACAATGCAACAATACTTAAACAATTAAATAAATAGACATGTTTCTGGTTTAAATCTATATTAAAATAATTCAAATAAGACAGTTATTGGTTAAGCTTATTTCTATCTTATTAAAAATGTAGAAAATAATTGGTGGAAGAATTTCACATCATGCTATTGGTAAAATTATATTTGTATTTTTAGGCTGAAAATTTGTTTTAAGTTTAAGGATATTATAATGAAATTTATACATAATTTCAAATTTTGTCATTATTCCCATTGGAAAATAATAAAGAGATAAGAACAAAAAAGAAGAAAATGCAAGTATGTTATTGCAAAAATTAAAAGAAAATAAGAAAGGAGAAGGGAAGAAGGAAAGGAGGGAGGGAAAGTATCATTATATTTGGAATGGTATACGTGAAATGCATAAAATGTGTTCTCTTTATATTAATAAAAAGTAAAAGATTACAGGAAATCACACACAAGAAAATTCAAATTCTTACATAAAATAATTTTTGTGGTTACTTTACTAGTATGTTTATAATAAACAGGGAGAAGGGAAGGAAAGGAGGCAGGGAGGAAGAAAGGGGGGGTAGAGGGAAAATTTAATACTGTAATCCTGGTGAAAATGTAAATGAAGACTAGTTAGAATACTTTTTCAAGGCCCACATTCCATCTTCCACAAAATTGGTAAGGCTAATAAAATGAGATTTCTTCACTACTAAAAAATGGGAACTTAGTTCCAAAATTATTATTTTAAATATATATTGAGAATTTTTTGCTGGAGAGATTTATGATCATATTCTTTGCTTTGCTTCATGGCTTGCAATATTAATGCTCCTACAAGTGCTCAGACTATTGTCATATTTAAATCTTAAAGTCTGGATGTATCATGAAAAGTTTTATAATTCTCTAATTATGTTAACTTTTTTCTGAGTAAGAACTTTCAGTAGGAATTTAGCTTGTAGCAACTGACTGCCATAAGGACTGATGAGATCCCAAAACCAACTTAGAATTCTTGATCTCGCCTTGTAATCTTGCTCATGTTATGAGCCAATCCTTTCGGCTTGCATCAAGAGATGGAACTGTCTCTCTGGGAGAGGTTCAAAGGCATTTTTCTATCTCCTTTATTTGACTGACCTATTTTTCTATTTCTCTTTTGTAGGCGGGCAGAAACTGTTCCTTGAAGCACAGAGAGAATCCCACAAGTAATGCCACTGCAGAATCAGAGCCTGCCCCACAGGTATTCGGCTTGTTTGTCTGTTTTAGTTTGAGTATGTCAAAAAGCACTTTTTAGATCCATTGGGTCCATTGCTTTTCTCTTGCTGAAGCTCAAGCAGAATGATTTACTGGCTAACATAAAATAATACCTTCACCTGTGCACTTTAGCATTTCTGTACTGGCCACTAAGCTTTTGGCCTAATTATATGAGGTCCTCAGAAGACCAACTGTGAGGGTGCCTGTCTCATTTCCCCACATCTCTCTATCAAGATATAACATAGAAATAGACAACAAAAAATCAATTATTCAGCTTTATTCAACTTAGTACAATGTTTTGCAATGTTTAGGCTAAGATTAATCAGAGTTGTATGATTTGGTTAGATTTTTTTTCAAAGTAGTTTTTTTCTAAGATTTATTTATTTATTTGAAAGGTGATGTCACGGAGAAAGAGAGGCAGAGGCAGAGAAAGAAAAAGTTTTCTGTCCGCTAGTTAACTCTCCAAATGGTTGCAATACCCATGGCTGGGCTTGTCCAAAGCCAGGAGCCAAGGGCTTCTTCTAGGTCTCCTATGTGGTGCAGGGGTCCAAGTACTTGGGCCATTTTCTGCTGCCTTCTCAGGCACATAGCAGGTGTCTGGATCAAAAGTGGAGCAGCAGGGACAAGAACTGGTGACCATATGGGATGCCAGTGCTGCAGACAGCTGCTTAAACCACTGCACCACAGTGCTGGTCCCTCAGAACAATTTTGGGGTATCTTTCCACTTTTGGACAAGATATTTTAATGTACGTGCATGAAATACAAGTAGCTTCTTTGTGTTTGCACATTTGTATCTGACATTATTTTCCCTAAGATATTTTTTTGAGTTATAAATTTGCATTACTATTGCCAAGAGTTTAGATTTTCACCTTAAAACTCATTTATCTTGACTCTTCTAATGATGTTTTCTGTATTGTTTGACAGAAACTACAAATGCCTCCTTGTTCTGAATGTGAAGTGAAAAAAGGTCCCAAAAAACAACTGAACAATTTTGAAGGCATGGCAACTAGAGAAGAAAAAATACTGTAAATATCAAGAAACTGTGTTAAAGATACCCACTTGCGACCGTATTCATACTCTTTTTAGACCACAGTCTTGATGGAAATACTGTTTCTAAAGCATGCAACTTTTCCACAGTTTTATGTAACTTTTTAATCTACAAATTTTCCAAAAGATTCCAGGCCAATTATGATCCTTAAGCAATAACCTAATTGAAATGGATATCCACAGTCATAAGAGCTTCATTGTCATCGATAGATTATCCAGTAACGTTGGTCTGTTTGGAAATCAAATGCAATGTCACACTTAATTCTTTTCGAATATTTGGATACCTAATACTCCTATGACCTAATTGTTGAAATCAGCTGGAGGGTAATAAAATGTTATGAGTGCTCAGCATTTTTAGAATTGAAGCTGCACTCAGGTATGAACATTGTTCATATTAGCCACTTGAATAACTTTCCTCAAGGTTGCAAGTTTTATTAGCATGGACCTTTTTTGTAGTGTTTATTTCTTCTATTATTTTGAACCAATAATTTTGTCAAGTAAAGTCTGTCAGACATTTAGTTAACACAACACATTAAATATGATGTGGACAAAATATTTGATTAAATTTGTGACACAAATAAATAATTTTTTGCATTCTCTAGACATATCCCTTATGTAGGTCCACTGGAATTACTCCAGGTAAAGAATTAAGTTGTTCAAAATGTTTGGCATGATATTTGGTACAAATTCAGATAGTAGAATGTGAGATGAGAGAATAATTCTAAAATGTGGATATACAATCAGGTAATATGCATTTCAAAATGAGTATTTGATGAGAGGAAAGTATCCATGTAGAGCCAAAGAACCCAGATGCATATTTTTGTGAAAGACAATGCTTTATTAAAACAAAGGATTAGCTATCCTAATCCTTGAAACTGGGGTTCTTTATAGGAATATCACTAATCAAATACATGCATTCATGAATAAACTGAACATATCTCACAAACAGGAGAATTAAAACTCAAATATCTCATTGATATTTTGATACAGCACAAAACTTGCAGACTCAAATCAATGGCATAAATCAACATGGAGGTTGTCTATATCAAATATATTTACCCATATTTTTTAGAGTGATTTTGAGAGTGCAGAAAACATATAAAATCATTGATTTTACAGATTGGATTTCATAAGTTTCAATGACTCCAATCTGAGCAATGGATCCTCAAAGATAGTTAGTAAAAAATACACTAAATTAAATATGTAACCAATAGACAAATTTACTGGGATATTCTGACACACTTTTAATCACAAGGACATACTCAAAGAAATTTACTGTTTTTGAGAATTGGGAAATATCATCAATAGTAAAAGTAGTGCTATGGTATAGAAATGGAACCATTCTATTTTCAGAGTAATTGAGTTTCATTTATAAGAATGTTTCCTTCAATATTCTATCTGAGAAAGAAAGAGAATTAGCTGTATAAATGGTCCAGAGTTTTCAGATGAAGTGACCAGGATAAATTAAAGCTATTAAGGTCTGAAGTTCCTGCTGATTAGTTCCCATTTCTTTAAAAAACAATCTAAATAATGGAATGTAACTAGTCTCCCACGTCCTGTTTTATGTAATTTTTCCTCTGAACAAGGGATTGCTAACCATCTGCAAAGATTTATGAAGATGAAATAGATAATTTAGTTTTATTTAGATTCACGTTCTCACTGCTACCCTGCACCTGAATTTCTCTCCTAGGGCCTATTGATCTTGTGGAAAGTTACTCACCATTTCATCTTAACACAGCAGGTTTTGAGGTATCATTAAACCTAAATAAACAAAGAATCAGGCTGATATTTTCTGAAATTACTTTCATATATAACACTGTAAAATGATAATTTGGATTAATATCAATCAAGTTTGAACAGCTTCATTTTCTAATACTTCATTTTCTCTGTCTTGTGAATTCTTATATGACACATTTATCAATTTATTTTTATTATTTCTGTGCATGATCAAATGGATGTTGGATCACCATATTGTATTTTAATTTCTTTAAAATATATAGCATTATTATTCACCTTCTAGCGTTTACTGTAGTATATTTACTGTCTCATTTTCCCTATCTCCTACAAAAAACAAAAATAATGCATTATCACAGGACATCTCGATAAACATATTTAAGAAACATTTTACAAATTCCTTTTGATGGTTAATACAGAATTCTTTTCAAATATGCTCTGTGACTATACTTTACTGAATGTATTTTGTGTCACTCAACTTTTAATTGGTGAGTTAGGAACCAAGAGCTCCACAATGTTTTACTTACATGTATGATTTTTACCTGTAAGAGAAGTGTCGTTTCTTATCATTTTAATTAAATTGTTTCAGTAACAATTGCTTGTGAAAAGCTAACATTTAAAACTTAATGTGGAAGAAAACATTAACAAAATTTTTGACTATAGATTGTGCAATTCTATTAGATAGCTCTAATGATAAATAGTGGAAAATTACTTAAATTTTGCAAAATATGAATTTCTTCCTATTGAGAAAAAGAAAACATATTTTCAGTAGGATAATGTGTTTTAAAATAGGTGTTATCAAAGTTAACAAAAATTAATATTGGTAGTTGTTCTGAAATGTGCATCTATGCTATGTGTCTGCTTGTAAGTTAGAAATTTGTTTTAGAATTTTTGTTTCTTTTTTTGTGCATTAACTATGTAAGTTGAAGCAGTGTCTAAATTGTATAAAACTGAATGAATGCTGACTGTGTCAATTCAATTCCAACATGTTCAAAGGAAAAGTGAATTATTCATTCACTCTACCTAATATGATTTCTGTGTAATCTGAAACATCTGAACTGGAAATATTAGATGGATGTTTTCAATTCTTTAATCAGCTATTTAGCATCACAGTGCTGTTTCTGACATGATTCTGTTTCATAAAACATGCTCAATTTCAACTCTAAAACAGATATGTGTGAAAGAGGCATTTCCTGTTTTAGATGGACAATGTGGATAGCTGGACTAAAACAATTATTTGTGAACTTTGCTATAATGGAATCCTTTATTTTTATAGCTCAGGTACTGTAATTAGCACTGATTGCAGCAGGGACTGAACTAATTATTGACACTATAGAGCAGAGTGAGCTGGTCAGATCTGGAGAACAAAGAGAAAATATACTTGTTTACTTAGGGGGACATTTTCTTAGTCATGTATATTGTCTTAAATTTTCTCCGAACTATGTATCCATCTGGATTGTGTTATATGATATAAATGGTCAAGTGATGCAGAATAAAAGGTGCTGAAAGATGACCTATTTTTGTTCACTGAAGGTTTGCAAGATGGGGGTTTGGCCTAGCAGTCAAGAGGCCCACAACCCATATTTGAGTGCTGGACTTAAGGCCTGGCTCTGGCTTGCAACTCCAGCTTCTTAAGAATGCAGACTCCAGGGAGTAGTAGTGATGGCCTAAGTAATTGGATTCCTGACACCCATGTATGAGAAATGGATTAAGTCCTAGGCTCCCAGTCCTGGATTTTGCAGGCATCAGGGAAGGAACCAATAGGGTTCTCTTTCTCTCTGTCTAGCTCTCTATCCTTATATTTCTTAGTTTCTCAATAAAATAATAAATAAATGTTTGTTTCCAAAATAAGAATGTATACTGTCTTATATAAGTTAGTTAAAAAAGCAGCTGTTAACATTATAAACAGTGCTTGCTTGTATGTACTAAGACTGAAGAAGTTTTTTGAAATGTAATCCTGGTTATTTATTTAATCTCTTTTTGCCAATGCCTTCAATATACTTCAGCTTATTTAAAGCATTTTTTCTTTTCTAATAGATTTTCATGGTGGCAGGGGTTTTGAATTTTTAAAAATTTAAATATTTACTTTTAATGAGCAAATGAGTATTATATATATTTAAGCAGTGTAATGTATTGTTTTGATATAGGTACAAATTTTGAAATGATTTTGTCAGGCTAATTAACATATCTATAATCCTACAAAATAGTCTCTGGTGCTTATAACTAGCTGCCTCATAAAGGTGTTCAAATATTTTTGAATGAATAATTCAAGACCTGAACACAGGAAGGAGCAAGAGAAGCAACAAGGGAGCACATTCTGGTGTGAAAACTGAGAATAGCAAGAAACTGTCTTTAACAAAGGAAATAAATATTGTTCTTTTTGTTTGTTTGTTTTGCTTTGTTCTTGAACTATCTTTATCTTTCCTTTGCCTTTTTTTTTTTTTTTTTTTCTCTCTGTGAGTGGTTTATCCTTTGATAGGCGTGTGTTGTAGTGGTTTAAGCTGCTGTCTGAAAGACCAGCATCCTATATGGGCTCCAGTTCAAGTTCCAGAGCTCCACTTCCAATTCAGCTCCCTACTTATCTGCCTGGGAAAGCATCTGAGGATGACCCAAGTGTGTGGGCCTTGGCAGCAAACATGAGACACCTGGAAAAAGCTCTTGTCTCTTGGTTTCGATCTGGCCCAGCCCTTGCCATTTTTCTCTCTCTCTCTCTCTCTCCCCCATTCTATTTCCCTCCCTCTCAGTCTTTCTATAACTCTTTCAAATAATAAATAAATGTTTAAAAGAACAAAAAAGGTTTATGCTTTATGGGCCTTGGCTAAGACTTAAGCTACATAAAGATAGTACCCCTGGATGAATTGTGAAACGCAGTTCATTGTAATTGAAAATTGCACATGGGTTTTGTTTGTCTTTGGCATCCAGCCTGACATACACCTTGGATTTGCACAGGTCGCTTACTTCTTTCAGCATTAACTGCTTAATCTATTGGGTCTTAAGCAGTTGGACTCCTTTATATGCTGTCAAGACTAATTTGCTTAGTAGAAATATTTTGGGGCTGAGGAGGGAAAATGGAAAGCCCAGAATGTAAGAACCCTGGATTCACAATCCCCTCTTCTTCATACAGAATATCGATTCCTTTATAGAATTTATGTGTTAGAATTACACAATCTGCATATAACTGCAGTGAAGGAAGAGAATCCAAGTTTAAAGTCATTTGGAAATCACAGAACATGATCTTGACAGTTATTTACTCCAATTTGTCCATTCAGTCATTTAGATTCTCAAGTAAACCATTCTTTCTATTGTTATTCCAACTGTCTACCAATGCAGAGATTATGAACCTTAATACATTTCTTATGTACTGATCTTAGGTGATTTAACAAAATTATTAAAAGTTTTCAAGATGCTTTGAGATAGATCATATAGCTATAAACTATTTCACAGATGAATAAATTGTCATAATAAAATATTAAATGACGCAAATGCACACAGCTGGTCAGAGGAAGAGGTGTAATATGGACCTGGAAGTAAGTTGCTAGATTCAATTTGCTTAACTGCTTCACACACTTTTCCCTGATGAGACTAAAAAAAGACAGCATTGAATGGAGGAGGCAATCAGACACATCATCATTGCTAGTCGGAAAATGTAGTGTTCTCTTTGCAGCATACTACAGTTTGAGAAGTTTGTCTGCAAGTACCTTAGTTATGAGAAGTTTTCATTAAGAAAATTGTACATAGGCCAGTGCCACGGTTCACTAGGCTAATCCCCTGACTGTGGTGCCGGCATCCCGGGTTCTAGTCCCGGTTGGGGTGCTGGATTCTGTGCTGGTTGCTCCTCTTCCAGTCCAGCTCTCTGCTGTGGCCCAGAAAGGCAATGGAGGATGGCGCAAGTGCTTGGGCCCTGCACCTGCATGGGAGACCAGGAGGAAGCACCTGGCTCCTGGCTTTAAACCAACAGAAGAAAGACCTTTCTCTCTGTCTCTCTCTCTCTGACTGTCTAACTCTGTCTGTCCAAAATAAATAAATAAATAAATAAATTGTACTAAGCTAAGATTAATAATGTTTTCTTTTTCATGATGCCCAAATCTTCAAAAATAAAATTTCACAGTATATTCATAAAATAGTGAACCATATTTTAAAGGTAATACTTAAAATAAACAGATATTTGCAAAAAACGAAAGCACCATATCAGGGAGTCATTGATTTCTCTTCCCTGGAAGCTAGGCTGTCTTGACCTAATAGGAACAGAAGACAATGAAATATAGATTTTTTCATAAAAATTTTATTTTCAGACTATAATTTGTGGTTCTCCCTCTCTCTTGGCTCTCCATGAATTTAATTAAGGCAATTTATCAAAATTGTCTGGGTGATAGTTACAGAATTTGCAGAAGAAGTCAAGCAAATATGGTGTCAATATGCTGCCTTTTATTCCCATTTTAGTATTCATCACTCCTAAGTGCCTTAATTCCTTTGAGAGCACCATTTTACAATGTCATGCAGTCACAGTAGTATCTTGGGAAGGGCAGATAACACAGTATATTTGTTCTTAGAGTGTCAGGCACGATTGGAAGTTCCTGAAATAAGCAATTGACCTGTGCACCTGATTAACTGCTCAATGAGCATGTTTTATAGGCAATATCTCTACAAAGGATGACAATAAAAGAAGGCAACTGGCAATGGATTATGTTCTTCTTATGCTTCTGAATAACCCATGGTTAAAAGCTCATTCAAAATAAATCTAGAGACAGATATTTAAGAGTTGGTCCAGGTCATGTTTAAAGGATGCAGCAAATGTGGAGTGGGAACCTGTTAAATCTGCAGCAAATCTTGATAACCAGATGGTGTGATCCCTTTATTTTTTAAAGATATTAGCTTGTTTGAAAGTCAGAGTAACAGAGAGACAGAGAGGGAGGGACAGAGAGAGAAAGAGCTATTCTATCAGCTGGTTCACTCCCCAGATGGCTGCAATGGCCAGGGCTGGGTCAGGCCAAGCCAGGAGTCAGGAACTTAATCCTGGTCTCCCACATGGGTCAGGGGCCCAAGTACAATACCAGACCTTCAACTTGACTCTTTTAGACTTCAATGCTGGTCTCAAACCTTAAGGTTTTTTAAGCTAAGAATTTTCAAAAGCTGTCCTTTAGGCCTTTCCTTGGGATAATGTCTTAAATATGTAATTCAGGGTGTCCAGTTGACTCAGGGTCCAAATCATCAAATGATCATTTTCTCCATTAAGGAAAGCATGTTACTAACATTTTGCTCATGGAAACCATTGCAAATGATTTAGTCCAGATCATTGTAACACTGTGTAAGAGGAACAGTAACAATTTAGCTAAGGGGTATGGTGAGAAATAGATAACAAGGAGTAAATCTTAATCTACTGTTTTAATTCACGAAAGAGATCCTGCTAAAGTAGATCAGCATACATCAAATATATTAATTACTAAATGTGGTTCCAGTCACATGTGACATGTTGAATAGGTATATTCATGATTATTAACCAAATTAACATTTACAAATTTGGAAAGGTGTCACATATATAATGGATGTTCTCTGAATCAGTCAGTATTAAGTTGAAAAAATTAACTATACAATCCAGAAAGGATACAAATCACATTTTATTCTCCTGGTAGTAAAATGAGCAGCCTGTTTATGTGTTTTCAACTTAATAAGTTTCAGGGAATTAGAATGTAGTGTGGGGAACCTGAAATTTTAGAGAGATTTGTTCATTCACTGTTCCCATGATGTAAACATTGACTGGATTTTTGAATGAGGATTTAGGACAGATCTTTCTCTACAATATTAACCTCTGCTGTTAGTCATTTCCTCTTTTATTATGACCTCATTTAAGAGATGATCACTTAAAATGCTTTGTGTAAAAAGCTTCCAAACGAATCTCAGACACATTTAGGAGCATTGATTTAATCCTCTGACCAGTTTTTATTAACAGAGACCTATCACCAAGCACTTTATTCATTCGTGCATATTTCTGTTTGCATTTGCCTATTGTAGACACTATTATGGTATATTCCATATATGTTTGTGTTCTCTGATATTTGTATATATTCTAATCCATGAATATTCTCATGAACTTACATCTCTATCTTTATTCATGTTCTTCATGGATATTAGTTTGGCAAAATATACTCTTTATTTTGCCAGTTGAATATCATTTTACAGTTTGGTTTCCTTTCTGTTCATATGTTTCATAATGTCTTAACACAGAATTCTAAGAGCACAATAGCTAAGTGGATATGTACATAATGGAAGTTCTATGAAGTGTCAGTCAACATGCTATTCAAATGCAGGTTGTTCAAATAGATACACCAAATTAGCATCCCAAATGAGCCATTTGGTATAAATAGCTATTATCATTTCTCATATAGAGTGTTGGCTCATTTAAGTCTTGAAATCAGCTCATTCCTCTGCAGTTAGTTATGTTTGAAGCTATTTTCCTGACACCCCAAAGAAGAGAACAGTTATCAACATAGTTCTGTATGCATGGAGCCTCAAAGG